ACCCAGAGACCATTATGTTAAGCGAAGTAAGGGGTGATTTCAGTTGTATGATTTCACTTGTATGTGGATTCTAAAAAAAAAAAAAAAATGAACAAGCAAAACAAAACAGAAACAAACTCATAGATACGGAGAACAAACTAACGGTGGCCAGCAGGGTGGGCGCTAAGGGGCCGGGCAGGATGGGCGGGGAAGGGGATGAAGAAACAAAAGCTTCCAGTTACAGAACAAGCCTCAGGGGTGTAAAGTGCAAGCACAGGGGATACAGTCTCTAGTGACTAGTACAGCGACAGACGATGGTTAGTAGATCACCTGCTGCGGGATCACTTGGTGAGGTATATAAATGTCGAATCACAATGTTGTACACCTGAAACTAATATAATAGAGTATGCCAACTATAATTGAAAATAAAATTTAAAAATTAAAAAAGAAATCATGTTGTTTCATGTGAAATTCCGGATTTCTGACATCTTCGGAAACATTCATGGAGCTCCCAGCGCTGGGCCCATGCAGACCCCGTGGCAACAATGGCACTACGGGGGAGGGCCAGGGGCGGGGGTGGGGGGCGTGCGCGGGTCTCTGGGTCATCAGCCCTACCTACCCCGCCCACTCTGGCTCCTTGGAAAATTTGAATTTACTCATTGCTCTAAGACCTATGACTCTCAACCCTGTAATTCAAAAGTATTAACATTTGAACTATCTGCCATTTCCGACTGAAGTTTCTATTGGGTTTATGTATTCTTTATATACTAGATTTGTATCAGATCTAGTTGTTAAATAAAAAATAATAATAAATGCTAGGACCTGAAAACACAAGTCCAAGTATTATTATGAAATTTAAACTTTTTCTTCAAATTCAGAACGTTGCCACCTTTACCATTTTCCTTTGATAGTGGACTGTCTTCTTTTTTTCCCATAGTACTTTGTGCTTTCAACTTTCTCTTTTATGAAAAATGGACACCCAAATACTTAGGAAACAAAGCTGCAAGTGCTAACCACTGTGTCCGACTTCCTTGGTGTCCTTCCTTTTTGTGTGGTGGCAGCACCCTGGGTCCCTGATTGGCCTTTGAGGAGCCACCCCTCACCAACCCAGGCCCAGTGTGGGCCCACGACCCAGGCAGGACCGGGGGCGCCGCCCCGAGGCTCTGGTTGTGCTCAGTCGGGAGGAGAGGCGCTCTTCTGGGTGAGTTGTTAAAGCAGCAGCGTCAGGCCTGGCGTAGCTCAGCGGACTGAGTGTCTGCCTGTGAACTGAAAGATCACTGGTTTGATTCCTAGGTTTTGTGATTTTTCTCTCACACATCAGTCCTTTCCCTCTCTTTCTCCCTTCTCTCTTTTCTCTAAAAATAAATGAGTAAAGTCTTTCAAAAAAGTGATGGAATGCCCACTGAGTTGCTGGAGGCCATTTTTGCCACCACAAGGGGGAAAGTGGCCTGAGAAAAGAGCCGACAGAGGAAAGCAAAGCAAAAAATGGGAGATTCTAGCCTGTGCTGTAAAAACGCAGTAGCCACGAGCCTCGTGTGGCCTTAGCCACATCTCAAACACACGGTAGCCTTGTGTGGGCCAGTGACTCCCGTTTGCACCAAGCAAATACAGGGCATTCCCCTCAGCGCAGAAGGTTCTACCGGGCAGCACTGTTAGATGGTGCCGGTGGTACAGTCCTGGCCCTGCTTCTTCAGCGCCGTGCACCCCTGCATCCTTTTTACGCCTGCAGTTGGAGCTGGGTTTACTGGTGATCCCAAGAACCCAAAGGCAGAGAAGCTTCCAGTTAGCACTAAGAATGCGACCACGTGCATGGTGAGGCTTCCTCTGGGCGTTTTCCTTCAGCCGCCGAGAATAGCCATTGCGCCCAGAAACGCAGGTAAGCAAGTGACGCTGAAAGAATACTTGTGCCATTTCACCACACTTTCTGTTGTTTCTTCAGTTAGAAAACAAGTGAAGATGTAGAACAAATGTTGGTGTTTGTCAGCATAAGAATAGTTAGAATGGACAACACATAAGAATACAAGACAGTTTTTCCCCATCAGGAAGTGTTTAACATCAACCATACAGAAATAAAGTGATAATGAGGATACAACGTCACATACATACTATTCTGGCCCAAAGCACATAACTTGAATCTGAGGAAACAAATCTAAATTGATGGGCAACCTACAAAACAATTTGCCTTTACTTTTCAAAAACATCAGTGTTTTGAAAGAGAAAGAAAAGCTGAGGCCCTGGCTGGTGTGGCTCGGTGGGTTGAGTGTCAGCCTACGAACTGAAAAGTCGCAGGTTCGATTCCCAGTCAGGGCACATGCCTGGGCTGCGGGCCGGGTCCCCAGCGGAGGGCGTGTGAGAGGAGACCAGTCCATGTTTCTCTAACATGTCTACGTTTCTCTTTTTCCCTCCCCCCTCCTCTAAAAATAAATATATAAAATCTTAAAAAAGAAAAAGCAAAGCTGAGAAATGATTCTGGATTAAAGGAGGCCCAAGAGACGTGACACCTCTATGTGATTTGTGACTCTGGGGGGGACCCTGGACCAAGGGAAGCATTTCCATAAAGGACATTATGAGGACAAATGGTGAGATTCTAGTATAGCTTATATATGTTAAAGTTTTAACATTTTATAGCAGAACCATGGTTGTGTAAGAAAATGTATTAAGAGAATGTCCTGTCCTTAGAAAATATGAGTATATGCTTGTCTTTAGGGGGTTCAGGGACTATGTTCTCTGCAACCAATTCTCCAGTGTTTCAGGAAAAAATACAGAGAAAAAGCAAAGGCAGGTATGACCTGGGTGAAGGGTACAAACAGTACTTTTCATGTAGCTCTTTTCTAGGTTTATTTCAAAATAAAAAAAGAAAGCAATAGTGTGTTCCCCACCTCAGGAAAAAAAAAAAAAATAGCAATACTTGTCCACGGCAAATCTGTTACGTGGAAAGCAAAGTGCTTCCAGTGTATTTTTCAACTAGTGCATCCTAAAATTGTTTGGATGTTTGTTTTTAAACATTTTTAAAAAAACAGAAATGAGAGCATTTTTTCATGTTAATATTTGCCTTGTGAAACTTTCAATTATACATGTGTGTACACACACGCACACACACACCTGTGTACCAGATCACAGCGGTCAGTGCCTTTCTTACTGTGTCACAACTTCAGAAAAATGTTTGAAAGCGGTTCTACTCCAGCATCTTTAATAGGGTGACTCACACTACAACTTGTCCAAGACAGCTCGTTGCCATGGCGTGAGAGCAAACCCATTCTCTCAAAAGTGGTCCCATTTAGATGATGAATTACAGTCATTTGTATTTTAAGCCAATTTAATTCCTTTTTATAACAAAGTACAGTGTGCATAAGTATGCCTGGTGGCCAAAAAAGGACTTGAGCCTTTTCTGAAAAAAATAATGAATTTACACATTGTCTGTAGGATTACAAATTTGTAAAGTTTTCTTTACTAATACTGTATTAAATGATTTTGTTACCTATCCCTTGGGGTTAGAATGAAGATCATCATAACAAGTTAGAAAATAGTGATTTTTCTATTACATGAAGAACAAATTGTCTCCAAAAGTTACTTAAAATGAGAAAACACCTAAATACAGTTTGTAAAGAAAACATGAACTCCACTGAATTTTAGTACTGATAAAATACACATCAAATGTTGCAAAGAAAGGATAAACATAGTAGTTTTAAAAATATTACCTAAGTGTTGTATTTAGAGAAGGACTTGGTAGACTACTACATATCGAGGACTTTTAAAGTATGAAATCTAACAGATTTATTTCCTTTCTACTTACCTTCCAATAGCCTGTCAGACATCCACCCAATTATGGCACTGAAATAGCTTATCAGTGACCTTACTACAGCTAGGAGGCACAACTTGGTGCTTAGACTGGAGGGAACAGCCACCATACCATCACCAAGTGACTTGCTGTCACAAGTCAAGACTTTCAATGTCTTGTAAGCCCCGCCCACACCCGATTAGGAGAGCTCCCCTGCCATCGTTCACTACCCACAATTAAGCCTTCCATCCCTATCCATCTTCCCTATCCATAAGAAGGGAAAGCCAAAGCAATCATCGGTTGCTAACCATGAATTCGAGGACCCTAAAGTAGGTGCACGGAGGGGCCAGCTTTTCCTTGTAAATTTCTGACTTAAAAATCAAATTTTATATCTTTCCCAGGTTGGCAACTTGGACACAGCAGGGATTTAAGATACAAACAGCCTTGGGGTCACACTTTAGGGTGAAGTGGATGTTTCTGTACACCGCTGCTGCTTCATGGGCCCTGAAACTGAGATGAACACCAAGTGCTGGATGCAGGACAGACTGACCTGTGACGTGAGGGGGTCTATAAACAGGATGTTGAACTTCTACTCAAGAGGATTTTCAATGTTTTTAATTGGGGGAAGGAATCAGGATTATTATCCTTCACACTGCTTTGCAGAGGAGTGAGAGCAGAGAGCAACTAAACCAATGACAAGGCGACTAATTTGGGATGAGATTCGAACCCATAACGCTTTGGTGTAGAGGATGACGCTCCAAACAACTGAGCCACCCAGCCAGGGCTAATGTGAGATTAGAAATGCCGTTTTGTCTCAAGCCTTTTACATTTTTCAGTATAAACTGAACTTAATCCCTACAGGGTGGCAATAAAAAGTAAAACTGAGTGAATATGAGTTTCAGAAGATAACACTATCATATTACAAACTACTCTTGTCTTGTTTCAAATAATCTTAACCTGAATGATGACTCTGGACGTTATCATGAGTAATTTTTCACTTTAACAGAATTAACTGCATTTTCAGTGCTATCTTCCGGTCTCTACACACATACAGAATTGTAGTGGATGTACATACAACTTGGTATTTATCATTTAAAAATTAAGTTAAGGGACTCAGGACCTTGCCATAACTTGTATCATGGGTACTAGGCAAATCATTGTTGGGTGACTTTTCATATATTTGCAAACAAGAAAGTAGCCTTTATACAAGTCTATCTTTATTTGTAAAAAATAATATACAACTAAAGCTAATTTGATTTTTAAAATCAAAGTTCAGTTAATGATAATGTACATTTTATAATAAAATTGTAGTAAAATACTGACATTTGATAGTTTAAACAAAGTATCATCCATGTAAAAATCATGTTGTCGCATGTAAAATTTAATTAGAAAATTCATAGTTCACAAAAAGTACATACATTTTGTTGATAGCACATGAGAACATTATCATAAGTTTACTTAAAGAACAAAATTCACAGTTAAGCTTGACATTCAGTACTAGAAAATTTTGTGCTGAGTCCACTGATATTTTTGATGATGATACACTTGAAATAATTGATTCAGACTACCAATGAATCGATATTTTATTGTATAACCAAGATCTATTGGTTTTACAATACGTCTAGTAATCAATTATTTTACCAATAAGTGAGATCTAGTTGAAAACACCACTGACAATTAAAATAAAATGCACTAGCAGCTTTGACTTCCATTTTCATGAATACCACACACAGGACTAATCTGTATTTTACAGTTAAAATTTGTACAAAAAGTCAAGCCCTGAAGTATTTTTCCCCCACAAGAAAAGTTCTGATGTTAAAACTTTGTTAAAAAAAAGAGAGAGAGAGAGAGAGAGAGAGAGGTAGTGTGTGAAAGTATTTTTACTTAAAATGCTGAACCCCTGGCACTGCTTATAAAATGAAATTTAACCTTACATATATTATCATTGTTTTGCCATTCAAGAGTCTAATTTATAAAACTCATAGGATGTTAAAGCTAGAATGCCACTAAAAACACAGTGGTGGTATAGAAGTGGAAGAAATTCGTGATTTCAATAAAAAGTACATGGCATTACACTGTTGCACAGTTAATAGTTTAGTGACAACATGTTTAGTGGTAATGGGAACTAAATACGTTTAAGTATTGTGAGTCAAGTGATCTTCATGTAACCAATATGATCTTCATATTTTGACCATACAGAGAAAATAACCTTCAAAACGGAGTCATTGGATTCTTCATTGTCTTAATAGCACACAATTGTTATAAGGTATCCATACTAGCCCTACCATAAAATTAATCAATAAATAACTCTGAGAGTAATATCCATAGGTACATAAGGAACTTATGTACTTCACGCTCTCCTTAGTTTCTATATACAAGCGTACTGTAGCATTTGTGCACATCGTACAGTGAAGTCAGGCAAGGAATGAAAGTTAGCAGCCTTACTCTTAACTTGTTCTAAGTGGATGCATTGGAAAGTAATAAATAGCCTCATAAAATTAATAGTGATAAACTCTACCTGTCAAAGGTGAATACTACATAATTTTCATAAAGTGTAGGCAGTGTTCTTAGAAATCCCATGAAGGGAAACCCAAATTGCTCCTATAAAAAGTGCACAAGTTTGTCCTGTGTGTAAAAATCTCTTAATCTGGGTGCATTTTTTATTCAAAATGATTCGCACTACTTGTATACATTAAAAGAGTATACAAAAAGCACACCAACAGCACACACAGACAAACAACAAGAGGAATGGTTTCCAGTGGGATTGGGAATGAGGATGAGAAGAGGCTGAGGTGAAGGGAGAGTCTCCCACAGGCCCCGAGTCGACGGACTTGCCGTTTCCCACATAAAGTCGGACCCATCGGAATGGGTCTGAGTGCGCGAACACTACACTCCGGGATGGACAAGCATGAGCCTGAGCCACTGCTGAGTTTCTTAATTCAGGAACATAGTTTCGATGCCTTATACCACAGGAAGCAACTCCTAAAAACAGTCAATTGATTTGATTTCTTAGAAATTAGGGGGGAAAAAGCACTTGAAAAAAAATTACTCGTTACAATTCGCAACAGAGGAACAACATTAAAAAATCAAAATAAAATACAAGGAACATAGGAGCTGAGGTCCCCAAGGTACCGAAAGATAGAATCAGACTTTTTTCACATTAGAATTAAAAATATATATATAAAGGGAAATTAACTGGGCTCTGCATGGCAGGTTAAATATGCAACCACTTCAAACAGAAATGATCTCATCCTCTCACACAGTTCTGGGAATGTGCTCTAACATCCAGTTCTCTGCAGACAAAACAGCGAAAGCACGTAACTGCATCAGCAAAGGCCCCTTCAATATAGATTTAAATTCACCTCTGACCCACCAGAGTCTATATTAGCACTTACCAACCTACTATTTTAATAACATTCGAAGCTTGCAACGCTCTTTGTTCTCATGCCTGTTCCGGGTCCCTGGGCCAGAGGTACACATGCTTTCCGCGAGCCTAACCTACGCGTCCCAACGGCATCCTCACTCAGAAGACGTCCAGTGGTTTCATAGTGTTATGATTGTTCCATCTTCCTCTAAGAGTTTTTGATCCGGGACGCGCGATTCAAACTCAGTGTTGGTGCCACTGGCTACGGGTGCTAGGCTCACATCATGAGAAGGGATAAAACCGTTCTGCCCAGACTCCAGGTTCAGTTCTACCTGCGTTAACGACTCCAGGCTCTCCGCGTCGGGCACAGCTCTGGGAATCTGCTGCGGCACGCCGTTGTCTTCAATGACAAGGTCGTCTTCGTCGCTGTCTTCGTCCTCTGGCTCAAAGCTCGGTTCGACCTGCTGCGGGTAGCTGGGGAGGCTGTTGTCAGTGGACTGGCCGGAGCTTCCGGAGGTCCGACTGTTCCTGACAACATTGTTCCTCTGGTTTGCTGGTCTCACTGTTATGATGAGGTTGCGGCTGTTTGCGATCATCATGTCTGTTACTTGATCCAGGCTCTTCCCTGAAACTTCTATGCCATTAACTTCTAAAACTTCATCATTAACAGCTAACAGTCCTGTGCTCTGAGCCAGGCCTCCCGGGACCAGTCTGGATATAAAGATCCCCGGGACCTTCTCTAAGCCATGCGGTGTTACCCTGACGCTGGAGCCATCCCGGATGTAGAATCCAAGGGGCTTCTCGGTGCCGTATTTGTAAAGACGCACCCTGCGGTGTGTTTCTGGGAGAATGTCCACGTCTATAATAGAAGACACAGGTCTGAAGTCTTGGGGCATACTAATGACTATATGTGGCTTTTTTCTGTGGTTGTCAGGACGCAACACGTTGGTTAAAACATTCCTCCTCTTTGTTAATGTGTCTGTACCAAAGGCACTGTAGTCTGCTTCTTCTGTTTAAAAATAAAATAAAATAATTATAGAAATGCTGTGAAAACACCCATTTATTTACAGTTGAATCCGCACAGAAAGAATGGCTTAAATGTACTTGGTACACAAACACACTAGTTAAATATTAGCTTATCAGATCAAAAATGTAGTGCAAAAGATATTTTCTATCAGAAAAAACCACTAGGTGGCTCTCTCAAGCACATATCATAAAATTACTGAATGTTCAAAACTAAATTTGATAAAGCTCAATAACAATTAAACAATATTAAGTATGGCAAATGAAATTCTGGTAAGTACTGCAAACACATCCTTAAACAAGTTACTTAAAATATATTTTGCCCTGTTTAATGACACAGCTGCTCTTCACTCCAGGCAGTTTTTCTTCCTGTACTGTAGGAATTTGCCAGTCATGTTTTTTAGGTAAAAATCTTCCCATTTTTAATTGCCAACACCAGTTCAACAACAAAAAAACGTATTTGAGCTAAATAACATCTGGGAGCTGAATTCATTTTTTTTTTTTTTTAACTTTTAAGATTTTATTTACTTATTCTTAGAGAGAGGGAAAGGGAGGGAGAAAGAGAGAGAGAGAGAAACATCAGTGTGTGTTTGCCTCTCGTATGCCCGCAAGTAGGGGACCTGGTCTGCAACTCAGGCATGTGCCCTGACTGGGAATCGAACTGGCGAACCTTTGGTTTGCAGGCTGGCAGTCAATCCACTAGGCCACACCAGCCAGGGCTGAATTCATTCTTCAAGTCAACAATTTATAATCCCTGAAGAAAACAAAGGGAAAACAGGGCACCTAAAACCAAGTATTCGTAAGACCACATTGCTGAAGGAAGACCGCCTATCATCTCATCAGAGAATGAGAGGTAGAAAAGGAAATGAAATTCACAGGAGGCAAAAAAGTTGAAATCACGTTTCGAAAATAACTGGGAAGGGGATAAAATAAAAGAGACCAAGGCCCCCTGACCACCGCCCTAAACTAGTTCAAAACCCTGGTGCCCAGCTGGGGCCGCAGGCAAGAGTGACATCGCCGTCTGCCCAGGGCTTCAGGCTGTGTTCTGCCCTGGCTTCCCACCCCCTCCTTTACTGGTAACTATGATCATCTCTACAAACAAAGAAATTAAAGGGACAGGATACATTACAGAGAAAAGACTGAACCCAAGTTTTCTTTCTAGGCCAATACCCAGCATGTTCACGCAATGAATGTTAGGTGTCAACTGTGTGTCCGAGTATGGAGAACTTCAGTATTCTTTTTTTTCATACAATTCGAACATTCTTCAGAAGTTAGTTTTAGCCCTGGCTGGTGTGGCTCAGTGGACTGAGTGCCAGTCTGCTAACAAAAAGGTCGTCAGTTCAATTCCCAGTCAGGGCACAAGCCTGGGTTGCAGGCCAGGTCTCCCGCTGGAGGCACAGGAGAGGCAACCACACAATGATGTTTCTCTCCCTCTCTTTCTCCTTCCCTCCCCCTTTCTAGAAATAATTAAAATCTTTTAAAAAAAGTTAGTTTCAGAGAAATGTACAAGACTAAGGGTACTTTTTTTTTTTTTTTTTTGGCATTTCCCCCTTGCAGGGATAATTTTGTCTTATTTACAGATAAAGTATTTATATTGTGTTCTTACAGAGGCAGAAATTTGTTTATAGTTTGGCTTTGGAAATAAATCCATTGCCAGAAGAATCTTTTTGGCAAAAGTTGGCCAAAAATCTAACAGTAATTATCTTCTAAACGTGCTTTTTCAAAATTATATTTTTTCATTTTAAAACAATTTGAAAAGCCCACATAATAAATACAAGGAAAATTCCAGAGCATACGAACTGAGACCAAAATTAAGCTGCCTACATACCTATTCATGGGAAACCTGACCAAAAAAGCCCCAAATCTGCATAATTTGGCATCGCATCCAGACTCTGTTTGAATGCTCTCTGCTAAATTCTCAAACGCAATATGCCCCTGTACAAAGGCACCTTTGTTCTCCCATCTAGCTAATCAGTTTCCAGCCACTGGGAAAAAATATTTTGGCAGGAAGCCAGGGTGCAGGGTGTTAGTTTAAAGTGTAAAGGTGAATGTCCACATGCAATAGGAGTTCACTTTCTACCTGAGCGCCTACCAAAGCACAGTACTTAGAACGTGACAGGAAGTTTGGAAACTTGGTTCATAGCAACCTCCCACTTGTATAAGTCCAAGCTTATGTAACAGTGCACGGCACAGGCACATTCAGTAACCCCTCACTTAGCCCGCGCCTGCCGCTCAGCTGATGAGCTCAGCTGACGGCATCGGAAAGGACCCACCTGCAAGGCCGACGAACGGCCACAGTGGACGCCTCCACTTCCCCCCACGCACAAGGCTCCCTGCTTTACTGACAGGCCCTGCCTTTGTGCCTCTTACTCCTTAAAGATTAATTCTGAAAAGTATGGTTCTCTCGTTCCTCTGCTCACAGGGAGCCATAAGGTGCACATTCAAAGTGAGGGGCAAGGGCCCACCAGTGAATGGCAGCACAGACACAAGAAATAAAAGCCTACAGTGAATGAAAAGCAAATCAGAAAAAAAGGAAAAAGGCTGTATATAAACCCATGAGCATCCCTGTATATAAAGCCATCAGCATCCCTGTATAGTAACAAAACAGTGCAGTTCATGGTACAGTCATCAAGAAAATTCAAGATTGTGACCCATTTGAAGTTTAGCAGGAAGACAGGGTAAAATGAAATAATTTTTGAAACCATCCTGACCCGGGGGTGAAGGGCTGTACAGTAAATATTGTAGGCACTGCAGGACACACAGTTTCTGTTGCAAAAGCAGCCATAGGCAGCCCATTAAGGAAGGAACGTGGCTGTGTTCCAAGAAAACTTTATTTACAAAACAGCCAGCAAGCCTTAGTTTGCCAACCCTTGTTCTAATCCAAAATGGTTAAATAAAATAGATCTGGGAACTTTACAAGGATTAGACGCCACTGAAAGCAATATTCAGCCCTGGCTGGTGTGGCTCGGTGGCTGGAGCATCGTCCACAGACCAAAATGTTGTGGGTGTGATTCCCCAGCAGGGGACATACCCAGGCTGCAGTTTGATCCCCAGGAAGGGCGCACATGAGGAGGCAACCAACTGATGTCTCTCTCTCTCACACTGATGTTTCTTTTTCTTTCCCTTTCTCTCTCTCTCTCACTAAAGTAATGAAAGAATGCCCTTGGGTGAGGATTAAAAATAAAGTAATATTCAAAGTTTGCAGATCCCTTCCTTCCTAATAAGAAAACTACACTGATTACCAAATATTTAAGAAGCACCTTGTGTGTGGCCAAGCACTGTGCTCCATGCTGCTGATCCAGTGAACAAAACAGGTAAGGTGCCTGCTTTCATGGCGCACACAGTCTAAACGAGGGAATGGCAATCAACAATGTCAAATGATCAAACTATCACAGAGGTGCCAGGGGCCGTGACGCGCACTGTGCTGGGCCAGCGTGTGCACAGGCACCTGGCCTGGCTCCCGGGGCAGGCACGGCTCCTCCAGGAAAGGGAGGGTCACGCCGCGATGGGAGCGCAGAGAGGCTAGTCAGGTGCGGGGGGGGGGGGGGGGGAGAGTTCCAGGCACAGAATACAATGGATAAAGAGGAGAGCAGGAGGGGGCGGACAAAGGAGTCCAATGTACAGCCGTGCGCTGCTCAGCAGCAGGGATGTGTTCTGAGAAATGCATCCTTTGGGGATTTCCTTGTGTGGACATCGCAGAGTGACTTACAGAAGCCTAGGCTACGAGGCCTAGCCCACCGTTCCTGGGCTGCAGGCCTGGACAGCAGGTCACTGCACAAAATGACACAAGATTAAACCAAGCACAAGGGAAAATAACACAAGAGGCACAAGACGAGGATACCGCCGGTGTTAAGAGGGCGCACTGCTCACAGCAAACTTTTTTGTTAGTAAATGCAAAGAGCACTCTATAAAATGACGATGAAGAGGGCAGCACAGTACAAGGCACACGTTAGCCAGGAACAGTCACCCATCCTCACAGGCAGGCCCCGGGTGCCGGCCGGAACGGCACGCGCGCAGTTCCCGGAGCGCGGCGCAGGAGGTTTGCGCGCGCCGGCACCGCTGCCAGCACGTGAGGAAAGCGATGCACTGCGACCTCACACGGCTCCAGCGCTAGGCGACGGGGGTTCTTCAGCTCCATTATTCTAACGGGATCAGCACATATGCAGGTGGATTTGTTGACAGAAACCTCATTATGGGGCCCGTGGCTGCAGTGAAGCTAAAGGGCAGGCGGGCAGGGAGGAGGAGCCCGGGACCAAGGCAGAGGCAGCCGGGGCTCCAACCTACAGGGCCTCCAGGGAAGTGTTAAGGATCACGGACCTCAGCCTAAGAGCAACGGGGAGAAAACCAAGGATTTTGGTTTTCCTCTAAAGCCCCCTCTGGCCACAAGCTGGAAGGGCCCGGAGGGAAGACAGGAGGGTGCTGCAGTGACGCGGGGCGGTGCCCAGCTTGGAGCAGGGGCCGTGCAGGGGGGAACACACTTCAAAGTAATTAGAGCAGCTTTAACAGGCTTGGCGGCTGGAAAGTAGGTACGTGTCAAAGCTGGCTCCCAGGTTTCTGCCATGAGAACTGGTGTCCTCTTCGGAGATGTTCCTCCACAATTTCTTTTTATTTAATTTTTAATCTCTGAGGCCGCATCTTTTGTTAAACTTTGTTACAATTTACTATTAAAAATATATTCCTTAGACCATTTCTAAGTTAAATCCTGATTCATTAAAAGACAATCTTAAGATACATCTACAAAATAAAGTCCACTGCCCAGTAAAGTTCTAAGGGACCGTTTGGGTGCCTGCCAGTTGCAGGTGCCTGGGCCCCAACACATATCCTATGTGAGACGACGTTTAAAGCGAGGCCCTTCTCGTGTTTCCAACAAACTCCTTCGAATAAATCCAAGATGTAAACGTATTTGTCTAGTGTCATACAAGAACAGGTGGTGATACGGCAAGAAGCTGTGGCGAGCACATTCTGATCAGATCTGGCGAGGAGTCTGTGCGTATCAGCGGACCCCAGACTTGGCTGCTCATCTCGACTGGCTGGCAGGTTTTTAAAAAATACACATTTCCCTGGCTGTCTTCCAAACCTACAGGAATAGCCTGGGTATTTTTTACAGGTACAACCGTTGAATATTTTCTAATATTGTTTGCCACGCAATAATAATCTACACAACGAGAGAAGGAAAGCTCTGCTCTGTACCTTCCTTCCTCTCTCTCTCAAATAAATAAAGATATTCTAAACTCCAGTGGGGATGGGGATTGGCAAAAGACCTGGGAAAACAACTTTTAAGATATCAGGTTTTTTGTTTTCTTTTTGCTTCCCTGATAACAGCCCTAGAAATAGAGTGTGCGGATTTTCTTCTAGCAAATTATTATAGAATATAAAACTTTTCAGCGCTATCTTCAAGTTCAGGATATTAAGTAGCTTAGGCACTCAATCGTGAGGCTTTTTACTTCAAAGAAACTCTGGATTCCGGGTCCTCAAAGGGTAGTTAATCTGCTCAAGGTGGGAGGGTGTGGCCCTTGAGCGCTGGGGGCGGGGGGGTGGGGTGCAGGGGGGGGCAGCTGGAAGAGCGCGCTCCCAGTTACTTGAGCTAAGAGCTGAAGGATGAGGAGGCAGCCATGGAAAGGGCTGGAGGGAAACCTTCCTTAGAAGAAAAAGCAAGTGCAAAAGCAGGGACAGCAACCAAGCCTGAGGGACAGAGAGCCCGCGTGCCTGGCTGTGACAGGGAGTGGGAGGACAGGGGACGAGGAGCTGGCGAAGGCCGAATCAGGAAGGAGTTTATTCTGGATGCAATGAAAGCCAGTACAGGGCTCGAAGCAGGAATGAGCAGACCAACTTAATGCTCATTTTTTGCTCAAGTCATCTTTTGTATTAAATTTATATTTTAAAAAAATTCTCTATTGAATGGACTGCCTATTTCTAAGCCAAACTCTAAGGACTATTAATTGCACTGGACATTAACCTCTACGATGCAGAAAAAGTTTTGTTCACATGGAAACCTTTCAAAAGGAAATAGCAGAAGAAAACTGCCCTTAAAAGACGTGAGGAGCGATTACTCCCATGAGCACGTGTCACGCTTCCAGGAGCAAAAAGACGTGGTGGCACAGCCCAGCTCTGACGGTCCTTCCACCAAGCGGCGTGGCTGTCACATGGCAGCAGTTTACAAGCAGTCACTCTACGGTGGAGTACACATTCCAAAGAGCAGCTAAATTTTTAATGAAAATGTCAACTGCTAGCAAGGAAGGCCTACGATTCAACAATAATCATTTAAATTATTCTGCTCAAAAGGACGAAATCCATTCAAACGTTTCGTCCTTCTCTCCGCTGCTGCAGCTCCGTCTCCTCTGACACTTTATACGCAGCTTTCTAAGGGTCTATCCTTGGTCTTCATGATTCCTAGTTTCCTACACGATCATGGCTGAAACTCATCAGCCAGAGCGGCTTTTCTAAAACCAAACCTATTTTCTTTCTTAGTCAGTCCCTCTTTCATATTCTGCAGCTCACTCCCACTCTTCTGGACAGCCAGATTACCTCCTGAGGTACCGCGCCCCTGTTATCTAAAAAAATCCATCTCAGGGGGCTGAAGGAGAATTGTGTGTCTGTTAGTATTTTGTAAACAGTCAAGGGATACAGACATAAATGACCAGTGGCTGTTTACCATGTTGGCGGACTTTAGTTAGCTAAGAAAAGCTAAGACACATAATCAGTGGAATTTCAAAGCCCTGGGAGTGGTTCAGTGCTTATCAACTGATTGGAAAGAAAGTTTCGTCTTCAAGGGTAACCCCTACCCATCCTCCCCCTTCCTGGGCTGGTTCACAAACACGGCGGGGCTTTAAGTCACCCCTCCCACCCCCCCACAGGCCTGCCCCTCCCCTGCGACTCTCCAAACCTCTTCATTTACCAAAGACCAGGGAGTAAGTGGCATGCACCCCGCCCATCTGCAGAAGGGCAGACAGCTGCGGGAAGGAAGCCACCAAGTTAAAAAAAAAAAAAAAAAAAAAAGTTTAGCAGTCAAAATACATTAAAAAATGCTTGCCATAATGAAGTGGTTATTTCAAGTGTTCTTTTTGCAAGACTAATGTGAATGTTTACATTCCTCCAAAATAATGAATTGCTACCTAATTCTCCAGCTAATTAACTAATTTCATGTCTGTGGCGAATACCCTACAAGGGAAAGGAAACATTCACTGGGCGCCCGCCCACGACGTGCCAGGGCGCTGCGCTCACTGGCTCTTTTGACCTTCCCAGCACACCTATGAGACGGTGTGTTTATTCTGTAGAAAAAGACACCGAGAACCTGAAGGACAAATCCCTTCCCTGCCGGTGTGTGTTAAGTAGGAGATACAACACCTGAGTGGTGGTTGCCACCAAAAAACTCGACTGCTCCTACGACTCCAAAGTCATACTCTTCCTACCACGTCTTTCTGAATGGACAAAATTTCACTCAATGAAGTGAAGATGCAATGCATTCCTAATTTCTATATTTAAAAACAAAATCTAAGAGGGTTATAATTAAAGTAATTAAAAACACAAATTGTCTGAAGTACACTTAGTGAAGTGTAAAGATAATCATCAAACCAACAATATTGAAAATGTTTTACACCCACTTGTTACTTACTGTGGTAAAAAGGTTCAGACAAAATGTCTATTCATTAAGTTTGTGGCAAAGTCTGTGTATCTTATCAATGAGGAAAACAAATTACTTCTATTTCTAGAACAATTATTGTAAACAGTGGTACTTACCCTTTTTTTGTATAAAAATCCTAAGCAGTGGATTCGCCGTTGAAACAGCTTTGTGGTAATTATCATCATTATTTATAGGGAGTAAGTCTCCATGGATGTCTGCGTAGCCTACTAAAACGTCAACATTGGGGATCTTATGAACATGCTGCAGTAATCCATAGAACTCCTCAAATTTTCCCGGTTTTGATCTCTCCAGTGAAAACCGACGAAATTCAGCTCCGAACTACAAATATAACAAACTCATATTAATTAAAAAAGCAAGAGGGCTCAATTTTTAAAATGCATGCCATAGACAAATTATCAGGCATGTTAATTTCCTTGAAAACGATGATAGTTCCAGTGACATAGTCTGTTGTCAGAAACCTCATTATCTGGATAAAAGCGCACAAGGCACAGGGACGTGCCTTCTTGATGCTGTATCTCTGAAAGGCATTACTTTCAAGGGATACAGGTTCAACTCACTCGCTGGGGTACCCAGGCCTTCCCGGGGTCTGTCCTGAACAGGGACTCATCTCAAACCCTGTCTCCAGCCCAGATCCTGAGAGCAGACCTCTCCTCACTCAGGCCAAGGGGTAGGAAAGTGTGCCTAAGTCTTTCTTTTGCCTGTTAACAAGAAGCATCTCAGTTTTCTCCCCCCTCAAAAGCAACTGCGATTTCACAGGAAATGGCAAGAATTAACGGGAACATGTACAAAAAGGACTATGAGCTTCTTGGAATTTAAAGCATGAAACAGGTGGAAGTACACTGCATACAAACTAGGTCTAGAGAGAAGCATCTTCCCTATGTTATACTGTACAAAAGCTTCCTTAATACATCTAATACATGTCCTGCAACTATCCAATTAACACAAGACGTGTTTACGCGCTTGGCACAGTCCTAGGCCCCAGAGACGGAATGCGCTCGGGCTCACCAATTAGTGGACAAAGAGGATAATCACATCGGAGAGGGACTGGGGGTCACACCGCCAGGGAGTGCAGGCACCCCCACCAGGCCCAGCTGCTCTCCTCACAGCTCCGACCCTCAGGTCTGCTCCCTACTCCAGGGCCGCGCCGCTTCCAAATGCCGGCTCCATCAAGTGGCCCTTATTCAGCACCAAGGACTGACCGACTTCGGGTCCATGGAAACCAGGATCGATAGGACCTGCTATGGGACTAGCATGGCATTTCCCCAAATGTGGGAACCTAAGAAAGGTTAACCAGCCTTCCTCCAGAAAGTGTACCAGCCGCCTAAGCTTGGGAAACGCTCTGCAACTATAATCGCACTCTTGGGAGTCACTGTGGAGACCAGCTATTAACAGCTCAGTTAAGTCCTGAGGTTGATTAAAATATTTTTTTAAATGGCCCTGGCTGGTGTGGCTCAGTGGACTGAGCACCAGGCTGTGAAGCAAAGGGTCGCCTGTCCAACTCCAGTCAGGGCCCCCATGGGGGGCGTGCGAGAGGCAACCACACCCGGATCTTTCTCTCCCTTTCTCCTTCCCTTCCCCTCTCTCTAAAAGGAAATAAATAAAATCTAAAAAATAAAATAAAAATTTTTAAACAAATGCTTGCCAAATGTGCTTGACACTGAACTCATTTTTTCTCTAAGTAGCTATCATTAGTAAGAACTGTTAATGTACCACTAATACAGCCATAAGCATCATGCAGAAAAAGTCCCTTTCAGAATAATTTGTGGTTACAAATGTGTCAATTCATTTTCCCAAGGACCCTATGAGTATCTGGAGTTACAGCTCTTACTCTATAAAGAGCTTATACCCACGCTATTCATTAGTTTTACATTAAAACTCACTAAAACCACCTCTTACCTCTAATAAATAATTTAAAAGTTTCCAAAACACATTTCTGAATCATAAACACTAACACTTGTCAAGAAAAGAACGTGACTCATACCTAGGCCTCTCAAAAAGTTTAGTCACACCTTCTCATTTCAAAGTAAATAAAAACTCGGAACACCCTTCATATCAGAGTTAGTCTTATGATGTTATCAAAAGTCATAGTTTCTCCTTCATTTTTTAAATTCTGATATCACAACATAGGATTCCTGGTGCTTTCTGATTCATCCCAGTGTTTATTACTTCCCCTTATACAGAAATGGGAGTAACATCTAATAATTGAACATTTTAGGGCTTCAATGTTTTTTGCTGAAGCTTTTGGATGAAAATTTTTTGTTTAACATTTTTTTTTCCCTCTTGCTTAAATGTTATGTTAAAAACAATGGAAAACTGTATGGCTTCACAGTAGATGTGCCCTTTTAAAAATGTTAGCAGGAAGAAAAGAGAAATTGTTATGCTTCTTGCATCAAAACAATAGGATTAAGAGAACTCTTCACTCCATAAGGAAAAATACTAAGATGGAGATAAAATTGAGACCAATCAACAACTATTCACTATGTAAACCATTTACAACTTGTTTAGCCTGGTCTAGTTTGTCCTGATCACCCAGAATGTGAATCAACACCCTTCTCCTACCATCTGTGGTACGTTCTAGAAACGCAAACTTAAATACACTGTTTGTCCATGAATAGTAACTAGGAAATGTACAGCTCAAAGACTGTTCCAAGGTTATTAAAGGACAACACCTTGATAATTGATTAAGGACTTTCCCAACTCTGGCGAAACAAAGATAAATCAGTTACCAAAGAAGTCACATGGCAGCTGGTATCACAATTTAACTGTAGATACATTACTCCTATTTGTACCATTTTTCCCCTCTGTGAGCAAAGACGATAAAGTTGACGCTGTTTTCTAGACAGAAGAGATTCTGAAATGTGGATGTGCATATCACCGAGTTGTGTTTACAACCTACCCTCTTCATGCTGACTTTTGTAAAAAGCTGTGATGCGCTAAAGCAGGCAAAAAGGAAATACTGTTTCAGACACCCTTCCAAATATTTTTAAATGGTAAAGATGACAAGTGCTTTATTTATTCCATTAAAAATAAATCTATCCACCATATCTATCTGAAGCATAGACACCCGAGAAATAGGACTTATACTATTGATAGGAATATTGCTGATAATAGTGCCTATTTATCAACAGCTAGAATAACAGTGGGGTGACACTTCGTTCCCTGCAGGTTCTCAGAATGCCTCAATTCTATTTAAGAGACAGGGTTCACTAAAAGTGCAGTACAGCAGGTCAAATATATAATATACTTAGAAGTATGGGAAAGATTCACCAATCAGCTGACAGAAGGGCAGAAAGCCTGAAATTCCAGTCCCCAAGTGCTCAAGGGTTCCTAGTCAGCAAGATTAATTACTGTGTGGTTGTATTTATCAGTGGACCTAGGATTCCTACTCATTTTCTCTCTATGATAAAAAAAAATTAAAGACTTGCTACCAAGATTAGGCCCACAAACTGAACTTTAAGATCATGCAATATCCTGTGCTTTTCTTCACCTCAATTCCCACAAAACCAAACTAGATTTATAATAGAAATGCCATTAAAGATTCGACCACGGGGCGCCGACCACTACACCCCTCTACTGCTGGAAGGAAAGCTCTCTGTATTTTGAATCGTCTTAAGCCTGATTTCAAGCACGTCCCTTCGATCTGCTACAGCGGTTCCATGGGGGACACAGGGAAGAGCATGCACCTTAAATTGCTTTGATTACACTTCTGTTCTTACTAAACAGAAGGGTTTCTGAAACTAGTGCCTCTTCTGATCCATGAGTCGCAGATAAGACTGTAAAATGATGTGAAAAAATGAATGTAGATATTCTTGATGCGATGATCTTATTACAATAAACTTACAGAACTTTTTTATCAACTCTAGGTAATAAAAACCATTCTACCCACAGGCTCCAGGAAGCTTTCCTTACCCTACTTCATTTGCATTCTAAGTAGTCTTACATTCAATAATGGTTCGTTATTTTTGAAGCTGATTTGCTGTTACTTTCTCCTACTCTTTGATGTGTTTTGGTCACCCCGGCTCTATGTTATGTGTTTTCGGGGCCCAGCCAATGCCCTCTCTTTGGTGTTCTATTAAAGCCAAGAAGTTACTCTGTAAAAAGGCCCTAAGGTTTTGTCATAAAAGCAGAGCTTGGAGAAGTCATAACCTTTCTAAGCAACCCCTCTTCTCGGAGAACTACACAGGATTATCTAAGCTCCCTTTGGCTCTTCAATTCGTGAAGTATTTGCTGAAAATGTTTCCGTGGCTGTCGATCACTTCAAATTCCAGCTCAAACCCTCCTTTGGAAAGCATTCCCTAATTAATCCCTATAGGCTACCCTGCTCAGGCAGCCTGGCAATTTAGGAATTCAGTGTATACCGAAGTCATTCTCAGCAGAGCTGGCATACCGTTGGTCAAGAATGAAAACACTTGATGAGAAAAGTAGCATGCTGGAATGAAAAGAGCATCCAGGCTCAAACTCTAAAATGCTACTCAAACGAAAGGCGACAGTGTTAATTTTACAGATTCAATGCATACCACAGTTAGTGCCAGAAAACCCCCTAGCAGGAAACAAGGGCTAACTTTCAAAGGGCTCTTTGGTTCACTGGGCTCTCTCCTCACCTCTCGATGCAACCCTGAACTAAGAAGGGGGTAACGTTTTGTAACCACGGGTGTTCCCAATTCCTTTTACTCATAGGCCAGGGGGTGGAATTCCCCCAAACCACTCTGGGTTCAGACGGCTTCGGTGTACCCTGGCCCTTACTGCCATCCTTGAACACGAATGAGATGTAAGTAACGAGATAAAGTGCTCCGATGGTCTTCCACCTACCTGCGCCAAGAGCGGACACAAGGCCCTACCCTCCTCCTCTTCTCCGCAAGTTTATTACCCACCATCCAAATCCCACTACCGCGCCCCGCACTGTCCCAGACGCCGGGGCAGCTCCCCAGGCCGTCCCTGGCCAGCCCCTGGCCTTCCCCAGGCCACCGCGTTCCCATCAGGTCGGCCGCTCCGCCCAGGCAGGGCCCCGCGCACCTTGCTCTTCACCTCCATGGTGCCCAGGCAGCCGCTGCCCGCCCCGTGTCGGTGGCTGCGGTTCATGCTGAGGCCGGGCCCCGCGGCGGCCTCTTCCAGCCGGGCCGCCCCCCGGGAGCGCGGGGAAAGAGTGCGCGGCCAGAGGGCACTGGACGTGGCTGCGGCCCGGGAGCCTCCTCACAGGCACCTGCAGAGGGACGGCCGCGGCTCGGGTCTCAGCGCAGAGATCTGCTCGGCTGGCTCCTTACGCGGCAAGACCGAGGGTCCGACTGGCCGCGCGGCAGGCGGGGACGCGACTCCCTCCCTCCGGGCCCCGCGGAACCCGCGGAGGAGGCGGAGGAGAAGGAGGGGGCGGAGCACAGGCGACAGGAGCCGCAGCCTCCTACTCGGTCACCTCCCGCGCGAGCCCGCGCGCGCGCGCGCACCCGAGCCCGGCGGGAGCCGCGTCGCGTGCGCGCGTTCACCTGCAGCCTCCGTATAAGCCTCGGCGGCTCGCGCTCCTTCCACACCCAATAGGAAGCGCGCACCTGCGCCCACGGCGCCAACCAATCGATACACGTCTTGCGCAGCGCGTGGGAGGGCCACCTTCTCGAAAGTCCCGCCCACCAAGGCGCGATTGGTCTCGTGCTGGGAGGGAGGGGCGGGATCACCTGAAGCCTTGGGCCCCTGATCGAGCAGGACAGCTAGAAAGCGCATGCACCAGCTCTGGGGTTTCCGCCCCCGGATGGCAGGCCGGAAGCGCGAGCGCACCTGGAGAGGAGCTGGGTTGGATGGGCCTTTTGCGCACGCGCAGGCACGCGCCTGGTTGCCCTGGTCCCGGCTAGAGCTGGCACCCCGCTGGGAGATGGAACGCGCGGTCGGGCGCGTAGGCCAGGCGTTGTTGGGAGGATGGGATCCACCGTCCCGCTCCCGCTGACACTGTGGGGTGCTGCAGCCTGAAACAACGCCCCTCCACCACCCATTTGCGTCCTTTAGGTGTCAGTCTGCAACTCTGGTTGCAAAATCCAAGTTTTTCCGCTTCTGCAACAGTTACTAGGGGAAAAAGAACCTTAGGTCTCTTCTGACTTGGTTTTGTCCATAGAGACGGCAATTCGCCAGGTCCCGAGGGGTTGAGTGAGTGCTTAGAGGGAGGAAAAGTGGGCCAAGGCCCGGGATGGCTCCTTGCAAGTCTGGCCTCCCGCAGGATTTCTCCTCGACAGGCCCTCCAGGGCTTTCCTTTTTCCTTTTTCTTTCTTCTTTATTTATTTTTAATTTCTGAAGTCTCCCGCTCCCATCCTCCAGCCACTTCTTGGTCATTTGTTGTTTCCACCAATGACAGCCTCTAGACTGTGTTCATCACCGGGGATGGAGCTGTGTCCCTGATAACAAAAGATTGACTTCTTCTCTCCAAATGCCCTAGAGCAGAGTCCTCCCAGCCAGGGTTCTCCCAGGCACACTGTTTAGCCCTGGTCATTGGTCGTGTTGGGGAGGTGAGAAGGAGACCTGTAAGTCCCCCACCCATTTGCAAAAGGGCTCACCTTGGGACAGCGCTCAACAAAGAGCTGTTGAACCCTCTGGTGAGCTGGGTCTGGGCCTGCGGGCAGTCTCTAACCAAGAGGAGCTGGTTAGGGTGCTTCGTTCCACCTGAATCCTCAGGGCCTTCCCCCCCTTCATCTCAAATTCCCTCCTAACACCTTGCACACGTCCTTCCTAGCCCCTGTGACTCACAGTTGCAGTTTTCCCACTTTTTTTTGTGAGTAATCCACCTCTGCCCTAGAATGAAAGCTGTGGGAAGTCAGGGACCACATCAGCTTTACTCATTGTGGAGCAAGTAGCATGGTATCTGATAGGTCTTTGCTGGGCGCTGGTGCTGGGGCAGCGCGTTTTCTACGGGCTCGCTTGGTCCCACCTGGCTTCAAAGGTGAGAAACCCATCTTTTCACCAGAAGGGCTCAGGTCACCAAATGCGTGTGGGAGAATGTAAGGTTTTCCTAGCCATTTTGGGTGGCAGTACAGGTGGAAAAGGTACCATCCCAAACTGAATAATAATACAGCTGCGTTCTCCAGTCCTGTTCGAAAGTACTTACTTTGTGACGCAAGCCGAGCTGGAAGTGAGTGTGATCCTGTGATGGGGCAGTGGGGTGGTTTGGTCTCAAGGCCCCTTAATAACTCTTAAAAATTAGGGCGGCCCCCAAGTACTTTCTTTGTATGTGTTATGCTTTCAATAGTCATCGCATTAGAATTAAAAATGAAAAATGTCTTAAATTTTTTGCGTTCCGACTTTAGAGAAAGAGATTTGTTGTCCCACTCATTTATGCATTCATCGGTTGATTCTTGCATGTGCCCTGGTTGGGGATTGAGCACGCAACCTTGGTGCATAGGGATGATGCTCTAACGAACTGAGCTCCCCGGCCAGGGCCAAACTGAGAAATGTTTTAAACAGAAGCATACATAAGCACACACTCCTGTAGTCATCGGGGTGATGACATCACGTCATGTCCCTTCTAGAAAACTCCATTGTGTACCTGTGAGACAACGCAGGTGAGAAGGGCAAGTGACCTCATGGTATTGTGAAAATAGTTTTGGCTTTGAGAATGCCCTAGGTAAGTCCAAAGGGACCCCACTTTGAGAACCATTGACTAGAAGACATGTCACAATCTCTATGGATCTCCATTCTCAGGTGTCACCCTCCTCTCCCCAGTCGCCAGGGCCACGCCCTGGGAGCAAGGGCCTCAGTTCTATGCAGGTGATTGTTGGGTGGTTGAGCTTTATTGCTGTTATCAGTACTGATTTATCAGGCTCTTTTAAAAAGGAAGTTTGTGGGTGCCAGCACACCTGCGTGGGCCTGCATTCCTGGAGGTGTCGTCACATCCTCTCTCCCCGCCCCCAGGGTGTGGCATCCCTCTTTACTTGGACTTTCCTTTCTAGGAGGGAGGGCTGGCCCGGCTTCCTGGGCCTCCTAAGCAGACTGAGCTCTCAGGCCTGCTTCCCCATGCGCCTGGGCTGTGCACGGAAGGAATGTGGAAAATGGTCTGAATTTGATAAAGGTGCTGGGGAGGAGGGGAGCCCTTTCATCCTGAGAGCTGTTAGGGCCACAGGGCTATTCACAGGGCCTGAATTCCAGCCTTTCTTGAGAAGCAGGAAGCCCAGAGGAAAGCCCAGAGAAGGGCTTGTATTCCTGTTTCTTTGGTTTGAAGACCGAATCCTAATCTTACCTCTTTCCCTCATCCCTCCCCTCCCCCAAATCCTCCAGCTAAAGCCGATCAAGACCTAGCAATGAAAAGCGAGTCCCAGGCCTGGGAGAATTAATACTCAGTGAGTTAGGAAGATAAGTAAGGCGAGTGTATGATACAAACTCTATAAATTATAGGGTCACAAAATGATTCGTTGGGAACTGGCTACCACTGATTATCACACCCACACACTGTCAGATCTCTCCGGCGCATCTCCGCCCCCTGAAAGGAGCGAGGGTTACATTTCTGCTTTATCCTATTCAAGACTGTCTGTCTTTGAGTTCTTCTGCGACTTAACACACCGTGGTGTTCCTTCGGTGAAAAGAGTTTGTAATTTTCCACAATTAGTTTTACTGATTCATGTCATGTATAATGGTACTTTTTTCTTTCCTTCTTCCTCCAACTCTTGAGGTGGAAAAAAAAAAAAAGACGTAGCAACAAGTCATACATAATGGTGGTGAGGTATTTTTCAAGAAGTTTCCCTTGCCAGCTCTTTTTCTCCTTGATTGCTCAAGTTCCAGTTTTGATGGAGCTGGTTAATAATTCTTTGAGAAAGAGTTGAAGTGTATATTCATGAATCTCAGACTACTCACCAAAGCATTTTAAGCTCTTTAGCAGAGGTAGAATTAAGTCATATGGTCTGTTTTCTGGTTAATAGCTTATCATACTTCAGGACTTTGTGTGGGGGTGGGGTGGGGAGCTCCCAGCTGCAGAAACAGACAAACGCGCTGGTGCAGCCTTTAACAGGGAGATGCCTTTCTAGGGAAGAACCCATCTTCGTGGGAGGCACTCTGTGCCAGGCACCCTGCAGGAGCCGGGCCCTGGAGGAGCTGACCTTTCCCCTCTCTGGGACTCAATTTCTCCATCTGTAAGTGCAGGCGCCAGAATGATGTCATCGCCACAGCCCCGTCCAGCTCTGAGCATTCTGTGGTACCTGGGGGATAATGAAGATGGATCATTGTTTCAGCATTGCCAGAGGTGGACTGGAAGGGAAAGGGCGATCTCCCCTTCAGGGTCCACAGACAGGCTGCAGGCGTCGGCTAAAATATTCCCGTTCCGTGGAAGTGTTGGTGATGACGATGAAAAGCACCCCCTTTGCGCGTCCTACCAGGTGCCAGGAACTGGGCAAAGCTTCCCCGAGGATTATCTTACTTACCTTTAAGTAGCAGCATGAAAGAGCTTTGTATTTGAAGACGCTCAGCTCTTATTTTATTTATTTATTTTTAGGTGATAGGTGTTCATTGGAGCCCTTGTTCTGCTCCTTGCTGGCTGGGCGACCTTGACGGTGTTCCCTTAGGCGCTTGGAGCCCCAGCTTCCTCCTCTATCCAAGAAGCTGAGGATGCCCACCTCATCGCGCTGTTGCGGGGATCAGATGGGAAACCATCTGCAGGCCGTCAAGTATGGTGCGAATGTCAGCGGCTATTATTTGGCAAATAATGTTGCTGATGAAAGCCTTTGGGAAAAAATTCCTTGAAATAATTCAGAAAGGTGTAATAAACCGTTGCTTTTTGTTTTCATACAGGGCAACCTTTTAATGGACATCTTTCAGAAAGGCCAAGCGACGCCGAGACCGTGGCTTGGGCCAGACACCCTCATTCAAACGCTGCCTCTCCCATGTCCTAGCGGGCGACCTGGGCAGTTCTTCATGACTCCGTGACCCCTGGTTTCCACCTCTGTAAGATAAGGCTACTAGGAGAATTACCTGTCTTATTTAGACACAGAGCACTTAGGGCAGGACTCAGCGCCGAGTCAGGAGTCCATAAATGTTACCTTTTATTATCATTATCGCTGTCTAAGTATTTTTATTGCCTACTGCCATACTAGAATTCGTTAATGGGAAACGTATTTAATAAACCCCAACTGTGGATATAACACTATGCTTGACATGGAGATAAAGGACAATAAAAAAAAAAAGAGAGAGAGAATGAAGACATTCCAACCGTCAGCAAACATTCCTTCAGCTCTTACCAGGATCAGGCAAAAACAAACAAACAAACCCCACAACCCAACAACAAAATAAACACAAATATGATTACGATAGGCTTCTTGCCTCCAAGGAACTCCAGCCGAGAAGTCAAACACACAGAGCGATGTCTTCTGGAAGTGGTGGGCGTAG